GAAAACCCTCCTGATCTTACAGATTCTGCAAATAATGCGAAAGCCCTACCGTGTGCACACGAACCAGTTGGTTCAAGAGTGCAACCAGGCTGATTTCCTCCTCCATTAGGTCTGTAATCTGCCGTTCCTAGACTGCGTCGATAGCCCAATCTACCAGCACAAGTGTGAATTGCTTGAACGAATTGGGCATCCGATGGGTCTAATCTATTGTCCGTTTCACTAGTGTGAAACAGAGGTCCCGCAGGATCCAAGCCCACTATTACACCAATGCTACTATTTACAGTTGCCCCGGCGCATCCAGCTATATGAGCCCCAAGACTGTGACTGTTGAAAGAAAAGTTGCATTTCAAGATGTAGATGATTTTAAATATTCTTATTAATTTGTTGGACACGGAAACGTCTGGAAATGTTTGCTTACCCTACAATTGTGAATTTGTCGGCGTCCAATCCAAACTGACTTTACATATTCGCAATGAATTGTCCCAAATGTCTTCCGATTTCGGGAACGTTTGCGAATGCAATTGTGTACAAAGTACGAGATATCGAACTCCAATCTACCACGAATATATTAGCATCAATAACATCCATATAGGCGGACCTAATGAGTTCGTTAAAATTACTAGAGTAACTGTTTCGCCAACCATGAATCAAGAAGATATTCTGCTTTGAAGAATCGTAATTGGATGATGATGAAAGTGCACTAGCGTCCAGCGCATGTATTTCAGGAGTTGAAGCATTGTTTTGGGTGTAAAGATAAAGTGTAATGTCGGATGTAGAGGCAAATGCTTCAACAGTAGGAACTGATGGATCGATTACTTCAACCACTCCATTTTCATCGTATACTCTTAGCATGCGATCAGAGGATACACTTGGACTTACTGAAATAATTTAGAAGCGNCTTATTACTGTTGTATTGTCGTGTAATATTAGAGACTATTACTTTGTTTATATTACATTATAGCCTCTACTTTGGTTGATTTCACATTACTTATTTCTATTAAGCCCTTTAGGTTTTTCAGTTTAAGGTGGTTCTTCAGAGAATATGAATTTCCGACGGCTAAAAGGTTCTATAGAGTGATAAACAGTTTTTGTAAGCATCCATCGTTAACCTAGTAGGCCAGGTTTGTCGCGGTTGCTGTTGTCATCTCTCGTAGCCTAGTTGGTCAGAGCATTGGTGCGTAAATCCAAAGGTCCCGGGTTCGATTCCCTGCGGGGGGTGACAACAGCAACAAAAATATTTTCCTCATTAATTTGAGGAAATTTGTAGTAGGTCAAAATCAAAAAGTGATTTCAAGTTGAAGGCGCTGGAAAGTTTAACTAAAGACATTGATAAGCAAAAAAGAAGAGAAATAATGAGTAACATAACATGGAAGGGAAGAGAGGAGAAACCAAATTATTTAAAAGTAATTAAAGTAGGTAAATAACGGAAAAGTAAAGAGTAAAAACGAATTAGTTTCAACAAGATTCAGACAGGGAAGTTAGAATAGGACAGCAAGGTACTGGGAAGAAATATGCAGGCTGTGTAAATAGAAAGTAGAGGCACTCGAACATATTTTTGAGAGATGTGGAACAACAGGAAAAGGAAAAGGAAAGGATGATCTCAAAAGGATAAAAGAGTTTGTACAATTCATATGTCATAATGGAATTAGCATGTTAAAGCACTTTGTATATAAAGGAAAGAGGGCGTACATATGATTTGTAGATTTAGAGAAAGCTTTTGACAATGTTAAATGGGACAAGATGTTAAATATACTTAAAAATATAGGGATGAGTTACAAAGATAGAAAAGTGATACTTAGATTGTATAAAGAACAACAGGCAGTTATAGAGCTGGGGATGCAACGTAGAGAAGTAAATATTAGGAAGGGAGTCAGACAGGGATGCACACTGTCACCGCTACTTTTTAATCTATACATCCAAGACGCTATCAACATCATTAAAGACAGTACAACTGTAGGGATAGATGTGCAAGGGCAAAAGATTAGTATGCTTAGATTTGCAGATGATATAGCAGTATTAGCATCTAGCAAGGAGGACCTAGAGATAGCTTTAAATAAAATGGAAGCGGTACTGACAGATCAGTACTGTATGAAAATAAATAAAAGTAAAACTAAAATACTGATATGCAAGGGAAGAAAAAGTAGGGAAAGAGCGAATATAAAGATAGGAGACGAAAAATTAGAAGAAGTGGCTGATTTTAGATACCTAGGAAGTCAGATAAGTGAGGATGGAAGGAGTAGTAGGGATATAAAGCAGAGGATAGCGCAGGGTCGTGTCGCCTTTAATAAAAAGAAGTCACTTCTATGCTCGCGAACGGTTAATTTAGAAATTCGAAAAAGGTTGTTAAAGGTGTATGTTTGGAGCACGGCGTTGTACGGGTGCGAAACATGGACAGTGGGAGCGGCGGAAAAGAAAAGGTTAGAAGCGTTCGAAATGTGGTGTTATAGGCGGATGATGAGGATATCGTGGGTAGAAAAGGTTAGAAATGAAGAGGTATTGGAAAGAATAGGAGAACAGAGGACTCTATGGAAGTCAATAAAAAATAGGCGAGATAGGTTGGTAGGACACCTTCTCAGGCATGAAGGTCTAGTCAGAGACATATTAGAGGCAGAAACAGGAGTTAGGAGGGGTAGAGGTAGACCTAGATTAGATTACTGTTCGCAAATAGTTAAGGATGTGGGCTGTTCTAGTTTTAGGGAAATGCGAAGTTTAGCTCAGGATAGGAAAGAGTGGAGGTACGTGTCCAACCAGTCTTAGGACTGATGACCTTATGATGATGATGATATATAAAATATAATGTTTTTAATAAAGATATCTATCTATTCACTTATACTCGGTAATTTCGAAAACCTAAGAGTGAAGGTTACAGACTCGTCAATGGATAATCATGTAGTAATTAGCCACTTTAACAACAGCAACAATTTTACCCCATGACTTTGAGGTTGTCTACAGTAGGTAGGTACAGTTAATTCAAAAATGAATTCACTCATGGTTATAAATTTTTTCGACGAAATTGCAACGTCTTCTCTTAAAATCGATGGTTTGGATTCAATTCTCGACGACGAAGTGATAGCAGCTATAGTTTGTCCTTATTCATTTGAGGTTATTTGTAGTGGGTAAAGTTAATTCAAAAATTAATTCACACAAAAATTTTCCGTGTACTACCACATGATTTTATAATTAAAGTGCAAAGGTTTCCAGCAGCTCGCCGAAGTGTTAAAGCATCAAAAACATCGAAGTCAGATTGTCTTTTTTTTGCTGCTAAATTCAATTTGATCTTAAAAATGACGTAGAAAGTTACGTACATTTTTCATTAACTGTTGACTGCAAAAAACTGAAACGTCACGTTGTGTAACATATATTTTAAAACACAACCTCGCCCGGTTCCGAAAAAGAGCGCAGACAAGAACAAGTAAGACATATTTTATCTGAAGATGATGTCGAAAATTCTCTAAATGCTGAAAATAACAAAACAAAATAAGACATTTGCAAATCCTCTTAGGAACCTTTTCAGGTTTAGTTACTTTTACAGTCCTGAAATCCTAACGTTTTTTTCCTTACAGAATATACCTACAGTTCCGTTTATTAGTTTACTTGTGACCCATTGATCATTTTTCTGATGGCTGGTGTGTGTTTTCTTGTCTTGTGCTCTGTGAATGTCTAAATATGGTCTGGTTTCATACCTCTCGAAGTGGAAGGATTTGCTTCTCCTGCCTATCCGTCATTGAAACAAGATGTTGTGATTTTCTCCTACCTAGTCTTCATCGAGACAAGATGTACTTTCTAGTGTTGTATGTGTGTCTCTATTTTGGCCATTATTGACTGTAATTAACTTTCATATTGGTCTTTTGTTTAATATTTGAGAGTTGTACTTCTGTTTATAGTCAGGTCATTAAATTAAAATTTTAGTTTTGCATTATTAAAATTTAAATTATTATTGAGTTGTCTTTTCCCTTTTTATTATAATAATTTTATCATTTAATTCATGATAATTTTTAACTCTTGAACTTATCAGTATATTTGAGACCATTTGGAATCTGTTACCGGTTGTGTGTTTAATTTTTGAGTGGTTTTGTATTGACAGACTAAAGTTATAACCAATTCCAATGTGTAACTTTAATCTTTATTACCAATGAGCCCTTTTTGATTATTAAGATACTTTGTTAGTTATTTTACTTGTCTGTTGGCTAGCCTTACTTATTACTGTTGTATTGTCGTGTAATATTAGAGACTATTACTTTGTTTATATTACATTATAGCCTCTACTTTGGTTGATTTCACATTACTTATTTCTATTAAGCCCTTTAGGTTTTTCAGTTTAAGGTGGTTCTTCAGAGAATATGAATTTCCGACGGCTAAAAGGTTCTATAGAGTGATAAACAGTTTTTGTAAGCATCCTACATCATAAATTGGACAGGACAACTTGTATAGTAGTACCTGACTATTTGAAACTTTTGAAAGCCCAATTAAGATTTTTGGCTGTTAGCCTTGATTACCTTTACTGGTTTTCCTATTCTTGTTTAGATGCCACATACTTCACGACCTCATTTATTTGAATCCATCTATTGGAAATCCTCTTTTATGAAGTAAGAAAACTTAATTGGGAATTTTCGTGAAGATGCCAGCTTTAGTTTTATAACCTACTGATGCTTTTATAAATCCTTTTGTAAGTTAGTAAATTTCTGCCAATTATTAATTTTGTTTGTATGTTTTCGTAAGTGTGTGAACATGTGTATGTGAATATATAAGTACTTCAAATTGTATACTTAATGTACTGTAAAGGCAGATTAATTTTTAGACTATTTTCTCTGGAACCAATACTTTCAAATTCTAACATTTTTAACAACGTAAACAGTATCGGCATGTTTACTGGTAGATAAAATTATTATGATAAGGACATGAAGCGCGATTAGATATTTTCAAGTAGCTGCTTAATGAATAGTTGACAATTCTACATTGAATGTACTTTTCATGAAAGGAAAATTTTCTGGAAGTTCTCTTCTATTTCATCACTATGTAATCTGTTGTAATCCTGATAACCAACATTCCAATTAATTCCGCGAAAATTTCATATTATATAAAATTTTCCGCGGAAATGACGGTTTACATACGAAGGGTTTTATTTCTACATCGTTGTTATAAATGTCAAATAGAAAACTGATTGCGATCACGTTTTGATTAGTTTAGACGACAATTACTCCTCTACGATATATCTCGTGTTTATCAAACCGTCTAGAAATCTTAACTATAATATTTAACTAGAAGTTTCTCGTGTTTAATACTGTCACATGTAGTTTCATACTCGCAGTACACCTCGCGAGGTCAGTGTAGCGATCGAGACAGAATTAATGTAAGCGCGGTACAATTATTCAACTTGCAGCGGGTAAGTTAATCGTATTGCAAGGTTAAAATATAAAGCACTAGCTTTTCCTCGCGTCTTCCCTCGCACAAATTAATATTGCTTCTCCATAAAACCTTTTAACTCCCAATTCACCCTTACAACGTATTAATTTTATTTAATGTCGCCATCTTAGATTTCAAATACAAACGTAGCAACAACATTTCATCCTTACAGGGTGATTTTTAAAAATTTCCAAAACACGTATTTGCTTAAAATAATTCGAAGTGGTCTGTATTCTGTCGAAATTGCCAGACGCGGATCGCGATTTCGATCTTTTTGGATCCCATCAGCGCGTCGCAAACAGCTCCGACAGAACACAGACCAACTTTTACCTGCTGTCTTAACAGCGCGTTTTAGAAAATACCACAACTGACGCAGTAAACGCCAACTGTAGTACGATGCTACATTTTATAATTACGTATGCTACAGATGGCGTTTGGCGCGTTATTTGTGGTATTTTCTGAAACGTATTTGCTTAATTTCAACAATGAGGAACCTTTCGAGTAAATTCGAGTACAAATGATATGTACCCTATGGAAACGTTACAATCTTTTTGCATTTGAATAATAATATCAGACAGCATTTGTACATAGTTTCAAGTAAATTCAACCATGAATAAACTATGTCCCAAACAAAGATTGTAACACCCTTTTAACCCTTCCCTCTCCCTTTGGAGTTTGACTTTGTTAAAATGTCGAGATAGGTCTTTCAGAAATTAAATGAGAAACCATTAAAACCAACTTTCAAGTAAATCTGACCACAAATAGCATATGTTCCATTTAAGCATTGCAACTGCTCTTTGCAAACCCCTAAAATTTCTCAATGACCTTGAAAACCTTTAACCCTTAATAAAAAAATTTCTAACGCTGGTTAATTAATAATACAAACTGACCTTTCATGATCAATTTCTGACCTTTCAGATGGTACAATTGGTCAATCGAAATTCCACATGAGAGATGCTAAGATCGCGGAGCTGAGAAGGTTAGAAATGAAAAAAAACGGAGGTTGGGAAGGCTACAGGCAGACCTATATTAGTTTACTGTTCGCAAATAGTTAAGGATGTGGGTTGTTCTAGTTTTAGGGAAATGCGAAGATTAGCTCAAGATAAGAAAGAGCGGAGGTGCGTGTCCAACCAGTCTTAGGACTCACGACCTTATGATGATGATGATAATTGGTGATCGTATGTATTGGTATAAAATGAAATGATTTTTCAGTCTTTAGAGCTTTAGAGTCTGTCCCTTGTTAGGTTTTACCATTGACGATTAATAATTAGTAAACTATACAGTCGAATTTAAACGTTTTCGGATGTGACTAGAATGTACGTAACCATCTTCTTTTCATTGTCGATTTCTATTTAGTCGACTTCGTATAACCGTAGATTTTAGCGTATAACATAATGAAAGCAATTCGTAATGAAAGTTACACGCACAGAATATACCGGAACCGATTCGCGGAATTTGTTCCAAACTTCTGTTTTTGATTTACCAATCATGTTAAAAATAATCCTCTTTTTTCTCTATATTCCTACATCGGCTTTTTGATTATGTAGAGAAGAAAGAAATACAGCTCTCATAAAATTAATCATTAATTTAGGCTAGTAGGGACTTGATCGTTCTACTTCCTATAGTTATTTCTTAAATAACAAGGCTTTAGTACCTATACAGGGCGAAAAATTGGTATTTGGACAAACAAACAAAAATTAATCTGTATCTAGTTCTATTTTTCATAAAATTTCCTGAAGCTATGATATTTTTTGAAGATTCGGGCTGTAGGGCCGTGGTCTAAGTGAACTATTCTGTCCAGGATCCTATAGCCCGAATCTTCATTCTACTATGGATTCCGGCTGTTAAAGGCTATGTTCTTATATGATATTTTTATCATAATAATATTAAAAGAAATTAATAGAAAGTTAAAATAGTTAATAATATTTGTCTACGTTATTATTTACTTGGGAAAATATATTTAGAGGAGGCAGACTACTTACTACCATTAGGATAAGTAAAAACAGTATTAGAGATTGACGACGTAAACCACGCATCAGCCGCTTCACCACCCCACCACACTTCTAATCCTTATTGACTCTCATTATTATTCATTTCGCTCTTAAAATAGGTACTTTAATAGTATCTACACGCAGCAACCAACTGATAGATCTTAGATTGTCATTTGTCAATATTTGATTACGATGTAAGTACCTACTTAATAATATTGTACCTACTACCACGTTGCATCTATGTATTAAAGCGTGAAACCAATATGTTAGAGTTTGCTGTTGCTATCCGTATCTTCTTGATTTGTTGAGTATTAATTTTAGTTGTTTGCCCAGTGTCCATTTTCAATTTTCACTGATGATCGTTTACTACCTTATGTATTCAATTTTTACTAGAATTTCTGCATGTGATGAGCCGTAACAGAAGTTTGACATCAGATCAAAGAACTAGGATTAGTCGGATTCTTGAAAGGCAACATCTGAATGGAACAATGGTGAATGTTGTACAGGACCCAGCAGTTTGTTAGATATAAAATAACAATGAAACTTATTTTGTGAAAAACTGATTTAAATTAAATTTGATAGCAATGTGAAGTATTATTTTCTTCAACTTATCCTTTTTTTTGAATAAATGTAATCTTAAAAACAGTGCAAACACTAGAATTTATAAAAATATTTGTAGGTGCAAAAACAATCTTAAACATTTATGCTAAGTAACCAGTAATTTCCGGGTACATATTAATTTTTATAAAACACCATTTATCCCTACCCTCTGATACAATTGAATTCATTCAAGTATCGCGTAAGCAACAAAGGGGACGGAGAGATCTGGATGGTGGTTACATCAGCAATATTTTTTATTTTCTTTTTATAATTTTTCTACAAAATTAAGTAGATTCTGATTTGAAAGGGAAAAACATGCTCAAGAATTCCTTTTAATGGTTGATACTGCCGAAGTTATTTACATAGACCTTGTAGGTATGATACACTAAAAAATACGATATGAAAATAAAAAGCAAAAATAGTGATTTACAAGGGAAGAAATTGTGGCGAAAGAGTGAATATAAACATAAAAGACGAAAAATTAAAAAAAAATCGCTGGTTTTCGGTATCTACAAAGTCAGATAATTCAGGATGGAAGGAGCAGTCAGTGGCGGATCAAGGGGGGACTATGCCTATTCGCGCAGCTATCCTCAACGTCACATCGCTAACCGTTTGANACCTACTTTTAATCGCCCTGGAATTCCTTCACCTGTGAACATCTACCAATACTATCATGGAAGGACGGAGATGCGAAGAATAATTATAAGATTGATTGACTTACCTGGTAAGGAAGATCAATCTTGATTATTCGAGCATCGTAGTCCTTCCATGATAGGGCCCACCCAGGCCCATCACCCCTAACCAGGGCGATTTTCCTTGTTTTTCAACAAACTGAACTGGAGCACCGTGTGACGATGAGGTGGAGACAGGGGTGTTTTTCTATTTTGTTTACACATTCTTTAAACTGTTGTGCGTCGATAGGCATCAAATGAAACCTACCAATACTATCATGGAAGGACTACGATGCTCGAATAATCAAGATTGATCTTCCTTACCAGGTAAGTCAATCAATCTTATAATTATTCTTCGCATCTCCGTCCTTCCATGATAGTATTGGTAGATGTTCACAGATGAAGAAATTTCAGGGCGATTAAAAGGTAGATATTTATTAATAGTCTTAACGGCGCTTCAATTAACAATTACTATTTAAGTAACCCTAGAATATAATAACAGCAATAATAATTCCCTTAAAATTAAGACTTATAACAAGTAACAAGTAGATATTATAATATTTTGTGCATTTCATTATTGTGATGTGAGAATTAACCTAATTTTTATAAGGGAAAACTTTTAACCTTATTTCCTAGATTGTAAAAGGATCTGAAGTTATGAAGATGATTGCTTTTTAATTTGTCCTAAGTACCCTTATTGGTATAAGTTAGGATATATTTAGCAAACCCTTCCTGCGTTTTGGCTAATGGTAAGTTGTAAAATCTATTAAAAACCTGCGATTTCTCTGTCCAACCCGCACTGTTTCGAATAGTATCGATATCTACCCCTGATCGAAAAGCTGCTGAAGTACTAGCGTGGCGCACGCTGTAACTTTTAAATACTTTAGTATCGATACCGCTCATCTGCCTATGGTTTGAGTAGAGGCCGGATGATATGGCTTCTTATGAGTTATGATTAGAGTATTACAGTTACCCCTTATTGGTTCTGTTATTTTTACATATTGTAGTAGTGTGGACGCCACACACAGTTCTGGTTTCTCTCGGAAAAATGGAAACGTCAAATAGGGCTGTTTTCTTCTAGGGCCAGAAGTCTTTATTCTTGTTGGAACTGTTATTTCGATTTTTTCGGTAGTTTGAAAAATATTATCTATTGATATATTTGAAATTGTTTGCAGTCGTTGACCTGATATTAGCAAAAGCAAGGTAACTAATTTTTCAGACAGACATTGAAGTGAAAGGGACTGTAGGGGGAAATAACTCGCTAAGAAAACCAAGACAGGGTATGGATCCCAGGTTGCTGCATATCTAGGTGTAGTTGGGTTTTTATTGTATATACCCCTGAAGAAACGTTTCAAAATAGTTTCGTCATTAGGTGTGATGGAAAACAAGAGTGATAAGGCCGATCTGTACGAATTAAGTGATGAGTATGAAAGGTTCTTGTTAACATTATCCTGCAGAAAAATTAATAAAGTCTGTAAGGTATACTGATATGGATTATGTTTGCTTTCTATACAAAATTTCCACCATTTCTTATAACAAATGGTATACTGTTTTAAGGTTTTCTCTGAGATGGATGCTACCATCACCGGGATGACTTCTTGGGGAATCCCTTTTTGTTTCATCGCGTTGCTGATAACTTCCCCGCTACCAGGGAAAGCGTCCTGTAGAGGGGATGTCTCTCCCTAAATGGAGAAATTAGTAAATTATCATCGGGAGTAAAAATAATGGGTTCGGCTATAAGTAATTCCTTAAAGAGTGGGTACCATGGTTGTGTTGGCCAATTTGGTACTATCAATACACCTGTTGCTCTATCTAAGCGGATCTTTTGTATGACTTTATCGATGATAAGGAAGGGTGGAAAGGCATAGAAAAACCTATTTTGCCAGTTTAGGGTAAATGCGTCAATAAAAACAGAATCGGGGTCTGGCCCCCATGAAACATAATTTTTGCATTTTGCATTTAATTTTGAGGCAAATAAATCAATATCTGGACTGCCAAAGGTCTTTATAATTTTCTCAAATGCCCCGTTGTTTAGTTCGTATTCTGTATTGATATATTTATTTCTGGATAATAGATCTGCTTCTACATTATCCTTGGTGTTTATGTAGGAAGCAAAAATAGTTATGTCACGTGCCTCGCACCAAAGCCAGATCTGTCTCGTTATATCATTTAATTTAGAATGTAGGGTACTACCCATCTTATTGATGCACGCTATTGCCGTTATATTGTCAATCCTTAGTAAAATATCGCAATTTTGTTCATATCTGGCAAAACATTTTAGGGAGTAAAAAGCCGCACATAATTCTAACCAATTGATGTGGTGAGAACGTTCGTTATCGTTCCAAAACCCTTTAGCTTCCCTGTTATTGCAGAATGCACCCCACCCCGTGTCTGACGCATCCGAGAAAATTTCTAGACAAAACGACCTTTGCTTTAGTTCTTTTGTTGCAAAATTTATATTCTCTAGCCACCAGTTAATTTCCTGAGGTAATGTATTTGAGGAAAGGGTGAAGTATCTATTAAAATTATTGAAGTTAAATTTTAGAGCCTGTAATTTTAGTCGTTCGAAAGGTTTTATGTGTAACCATGCATATTTTAGCGTAGGTGCTACTGCAACAAGGTTTCCTATCAACGATGCGAATTTCCTAATTTTGCATCTTTGTAGTTTAGAAAATTTAATTAAACGTGTTTTAATTTTTTGCACTTTTTGTTGGGGTAGACCCAAGGTCATTTCTTTTGTATTGAAGATAAATCCCAAATATTCTAAAGTCTGAGTAGGAATTAGGATACTTTTATCTCGATTTATAACAAAACCTAATCTTGTTAAAAGACTCTGCGTAAAAAGAACAGCTTGATAACATTCAACAAAATTATTGCCCATTATAAAGAAATCATCAAGGTAAATTATGATTTTACAACCCTGTTGTCGCAAATATTTTCCAACCGGTTTTAAGAGTTTCGTGAACACTAACGGGGCAATGTTTAAGCCAAAAGGCAGACAGTTAAATTCATATAATTTTCCGCAAAAGGAGAATCTTAAGTATTTTCTATATCCTTTATGTATTGGTATAAGAAAGTAAGCATCTTTAAGGTCTATTTTTGCTAAGAAACAATCCTGAGAAATCAATCTAATGGCATTGCGATAATCTTCTAGCTTAAAGTGTTGATTTTTAATATAACCATTTAATTCCTTTAAATTAAGAATAAACCTATGTTTTCCATTAGGTTTTTTAACTAAAAAATAAGGAGATAAAAATTGTCCCCTGCTGTAGTGGCATTCTGATATGGCACCTTTTCTAAGCAACTTGTTAATTTCGTCAGTATAGGCCTGTAAATTTTGAGTGTTAAAATTTTTGGGGCGTTTTGGTTGCTTAGGTTTTGAGTGGAAAGGTAATTTTAACCCACCCAGCCAACAAAGAACCTTAGTTTTGTGTGATATTGTTTCAAACCAAGCATTTTTGAATAATTTTAAACGGCCTGCAAGAGCCGTAATTACCTCTACTTGTGGTAAATCTTCCGGGCACTGTTGCGTGGATGGTACGTCTCCCCCTGTTTCTTCTTGCTCTGATATGTGTGTCTCTTCCATTGCTTTGGTTTTTGATGCTTTTGGTTCTGCTTCAGCCTGTGCTTCCGATACGGGCGCCCCGAGTTTAAAGATCTGCTTGATGGCCCCGCCCTGGAGAGGTTTGGCTGAACAGATCTTTGGATCTGTGCTCCTGCTTTCCTTATTTCCTGACGATTTTTTACTTTCGAGAGAAAATCCGCTCCCAACAAGTGGTCATCGATCGGGTTTTGTGCTGCCGCTGCTCTCGAATCCTCATTTATATACGGGGTTATTTCGAATTTCCTTTTTATAGATAATGCCTGATGTACACCGGACATAAGTTGGGTTACATCAATTAGTTTCTCGACTAAATCCGTTGTTAAGGTTACTTCCTTGTCGGGCTCAGATAACTTCTTGGAAATAATACCTCCCGTCGCTGTTAGACATGCGCCTAGCTGTTCTTGGAGGTTGGAAAGGAGGTAATCGTTTTTGGAGATTTGTGGAGGCAATATTGACTTTATTTCCTCATTTAGAATAGGTGGAAGTAAATTTTTGCAGTTTGCTGGAATGGGATACTTTTCAATAATTTCCTTCCTAATCTCCTTGGGTATCCCCTCTCGAAGATACACTGCCCATCTAACGGCGAGCTCTTCGTGGATATCTGGTCCGTAACGTCTCGCACTACCCGGCTGCTCTCCAAGTAGTGCTAAAATCTGTTTTCCTGCAGAGGAAACCTCCACCGGAATAGAATTTTCCGGAGCGGTAGGGGAAGCTAT